AGCGTGAGGTGTCACTCAGCAAAGAATGATGTGGGAAAGTCAGAAATATTTTAAGTATAGTGCCGAATCCCCGTTTTGTGGTAGCAGAACGCTGTATTTTATTTTCTTCAGCCAACAGGTATTGACATTTTAAATTCCTCCTGAGGCAAAGAAATCTTTTTCTGCTAAATAGTTAAATAAGCTGGATAAAAATAGAACCTAAACTTTGTTTGGAGCAGCATTTGAGTCCAAAGACACCACAGCAATTGTTTGGAATATACTGTATTTCATGCAAGTATGATAGAAAGTGTGTATTAGATTGTTAAATACAGGGCCCCTTCTCGTTTGCATAGATGAATAATTTTGCATTTATAAAAGAGGTTGGGTTGGGTTTTTTTTTAAATACCGGAGCTTTATATGTGCCAGGTTCTCAAGCTGTCTAGGGTGTAGCAAGGTATAAAACACTTGGGTTTAATTAACTCTAAGTTGCAGGTATGAGAATTAGTTCTGTTTCATAATACACATTATTTCCTACGTTCTAAACTGTCTTTAAATAATTAATAACTGGAGTGGACACAAAGGATCTTTTTACCTGGGCTTGATTAGATACATTCATCTGCTGAAGCTGTTAGGGATACAAACTTAAAGCATGTTTCCTTTGGAAAAAAACTGTTCTGCAGAGGCCAGCGTTGGGAGGTGACAGCCAGCACTCCTTGCCTTGCTTAATGATTTTAGCCAGTTCTCCTTGGGCTGCCGTGCATTATAACAACTGGTTTTGGCTCTCGTTGTTACTCGTGCGTGGTGGCAGCGCACACTTTATCAAATGCACGGTCTGTGTGAGAGGTGATCGCTTGTTATTTTATTACCTCCTTCGCGTACCTGCTGTTTGCCACAGAGGGAGGCCAGGAGCCCACCCGTGCGGTTTGCACCACGACTTCCCAGCAGGGAGCTCGTGCAGGGCGTCCAGCCGACGCGCTTTGTGCAGAGGGAGTTATTTGAGGAAGGGGGTGGATTTTCACAGTGATGGAAGGAGGCAGAGGAGGAGTATTTGCTAACAACCCCTGATGAGATCTGAAGTTCTTCACCAGCACCGGTTCTGCCAAGATGCATTTTAGCTGGTTTGCGAAGGGTGTATCTGCTCAGGCAGCGGAATGAAAACGCTGCGTGAGGTGTGACTTACCCACCTGGAAAGGGATGCGTGTGCTCAGAGCTGCCTCCACAGCTCATTGTAGTCCGGGGGTCAGCTGCACGCCGTTCTTCCCAAACAGCTCTAACATACTCACTGTGGCCTGAATGCCCATCACGTTGCAGACGGAGCAGTGCTCTGGGGGAAAGCAGAGACAGCAGAAGTGGCCTTCAGCACCGTTGCCTCCAGGTGTTCTCCGTGTTGCAGAGGCTATGGCACATGGGAACGTACAAGGCCCAAAAGGCCCCGCAGTTCATACCGCTCTTGCCCCACAAAGGAGATCTCCAGGCGCGGCGTGCTCTGGAGGCTTTGCATACATTAGCTAACGTCCTTCCAGCAGTTCCCCGTTCCCTCGCCCTCAGTCAGTAAGGACGCTGCTCCCTCTTTGCCACCCCCACAGGCCCCCAATGCCCAGGGTGTGCGACTAGCAGAGCACCGCAGGGCGCAGGGGATCGGGGCACCAGACATCAGTTATTCCTGATTTGTTTGATTGCTTTTTTGTAAGGTCAAAAGCACAGGCATTACTGGGGACAAAAACCATCGCTTTTGTTGCCCCCAGCTAGAGGCTTAGCACTATGCGACTAGTACAGCTGTAAACTTCAGAGATGTTATTCTAAATAGGTTTTTTTACAGAATAATTCAAATCCGTATGTCCTTAGCAATAGAGCACTGAAACATAGAATGCACATCGTGAGTGACTCTGCAGGAATAAATATAAGCAAGACAAATCATATAGCTCCGTCAGAAAAACCCCAGCAGTGCTCAGCACATGATCCTTAATGTGCTTTGGTCAATATCTTTCTCTGTATCAATGGAAGCTCATTAAAAGAAGATATTGCAGACTAACTGAGCCATGCCGTATTAGTTCTTGCCAAAGCTTGACATTTTTAATACATTAATAATATGTCTGTAATGTAATGGAAAACTATTAATCAGAACTGGTTATATGCCAGAAATTTAAGCTATAATTGGCTGCTTCTTGTCAGGAATGCCTGTCGTACACTGCTACAGCTGCCTAATGCTCACATGTCTTGCACTCCTCTGCACTTTTTCCTTGTCAGTGCACTAAATTCGATCGATGTTATAGTCTATAATTCCATGTAACGACCATCATTATGACTCTGGCTTACTTTAATGAGAATTCGTTATATGGGAAGTATTTTAGCACAGTGTGTTAAGGTAGTGGCTTGCTTCACATTATTTTAGTCCTACCCAGTCCTGTTTATTAGTGGATCTGAGTCTCAGCAGTTATAAAAATGTTACGGGTAACTGAAGAGGTAGCAAGGAAAATATTAAAGAAAACAAATCTATTTTTGCCTGAATATACAGGCTTGTAGTCTAAGGATAATTAAACTGAGTAACTTCTTATTTCTACGTAGAAACATGATGTTCACTTACCGTTTATTCCAGCTATAAACAAGCCTTCTCCAATACAGAGTATGTTTTGATTTGTCACAAATTAAAAATTGTTTGCTCCTTTTTTAGCAGAGCAGTTGTTTCCCTTTTGTATAATGACTGCTCTAAGTTATGGGGCTTGGGGCATGTTTTTTTCCCCCTGCAAAATAGTAAAATACATATGAGGTGTCTTTAGAAAAACAAGGAAAGTGTTCTCTGAATTACTGAATTCCAAGATAATAAGTAAATAATAAGTAAACATTCCCACTGAAAACAAAAAAGAATGTAAGGTCACTAAAAAAAGCAGTGGTACTACATAGTGTGCTTCTTAAAAAGATTTAATTTTAATTTGGTCTTAGATATTTCTGCTTTTGTGTCAAATTCAGATTGGAAGCTTAAATATATCTGAACTAATTGAGAATTGCTATTGCATGAAAATTCAGATATTCTCTGCATATTCTGATAAAATATATGAGAGTTGTATGGTAACACTTGATAAAATGAATATAATGGAAAATTGCATTTACGTCCATACGGCAATTATTGTAAATTACTTTGCTATGGAAACACAATTCAACCATCTGTTGGCATTTCATAGTGTCTGTAGTTTAGCTCAGTTTAAGATGAAGCATTATTTAAATATAGGGAGGCAGTTTGCGAATAGCTTTGAAGATAAGTTTTGAAAGTGCATATTACCAAAGTGACATGCTAAGGAGCTCATCAGGTCACACACCACTTCCCGTGGTTTTGGGGTATAGGAGGGTTCGTGACACTGGGCATAATTTAAAACTGGGAACAAGCAAAGCAGCCTGCAGAAAGTGGTGACTTACGATTGTTTCTTAACATCTGTCTGACGGGTTTGCTTAGATTTTAGCATCCAGACAAAAAGAGTGAGGAGATGCTGCGGCAGCTGGCTGAAGTCCTCCTTCTGCAGAGAGCCCAGCACCCAGGCTCCCTGTTCTCGGCTGGCATGGGCTGATGCCGGGTGCAGGATGAGGGGAATGAGTTGGAGTTTCTAGCCCTGGTTTTCCTTGTCCGTGTTGAGGGAACTTACTCCGTCTTTGCAGTTTCTCTCATACATAATTTGTATTTTTACCTGTTTTTAGCAAATATGTATTTTAAGTCATTGTAATAACATCTTAGGATTTTATACCTGTAATAATATGATTGAGGCGATACAAACCGAGGGAATTTCTAGTTGCTTTCTGAAGAGAGGAAAGAGGTATATCTGCTATGAAATAAACTCTGAGTACACAGGTACCCCCACTCTCAAACCTAGGAAAATAAGACTGCCATAACAGAGGGGGAAAGCATCCTTACAGTAAGCTACAAATGAACTATTATCTTTATCTTTAGTTTATCGTCAGTGTGATCAGTAAATCACAGTTCAAAGAAAAAAAAAAGGACCAAAGCTCTTCCAATGCTAATGAGAAATTTGAAGGAAACAGAAGTGTGCTTGCAATATCTTTGTTACTCTTCCAATAAAAAATAAAATAAAATAAAATAAATTTAAAAAAATCTAATACGTAAGGCTTTTTGAGCTCACTGAGGTTCCTCTTGGCAAGAGACTATCAGCACTTGGTAGCCCTGATACCCATCTCTGTGGCACTTTAATGAGAGCGCCTTCCTGCTGCTGCCCTCTCCCCTGCCTGCACAATCTGGGCAATGGCTGAGTTTGGTAGTTTGCTCTCTGGTTTTGCTAGGGTGAAAATACAGTTTAGGAAGCAGAAACCTGTAACTCACCTAGAACATTATAAATCTGTCTTTGTTAGAGAAGAGTTAAATCTTTCATGTCAAAATACTTTTCACTGTGAATGATTTTGGTAGTTTGTTCATTCTAGCACAGCACCCACGGTAAAGGTTATCCATATTACACCAATTTGCCTGTTACTGCATCAAACCTCCAAAATGTCAACATATCATATATTTGTAATGCATTGATTCTTGGACAATAACTCTAACTCTTATTGTTTCTAAAAGGGTGCTGGTGCCAGAAGAAAAGAATGATTGATGGGAAACAGACACCAGCCTGTAGACACTCATCCTTTTGCTTCGGATACTGATTTATCAGTGCATCTGGGCATCCCCTGTGAGCCCTGAACATGGAGGATCACTCAGGGTTATCGACACTGTAGCTGAAGACTTGCAACTTCACAAATTATTATCTGCTATTGGACATCTTTTACAAGAAGCCCTGACAGATAAGTTATAAGACAAAGGACAAGCGCTGCATTGCTGTGAAAGGCTGTCATCGGGGTCTGGGTGGCTTCTACCAAAGTCTTCAACTTAGTGAAACAATCACCCTGTCCTAATGCTTCATGTTTGAGTTGGAACCTATTTTATAAAATATATACATGTGTATATATATATGTATAATCTATAGACTGCACGTACGCCAGTACTGAGCATCCTTACGAAGGTGGCATAAAAGGATTTAGAAATGTATTTGTCAAGATTCCTGTCACTTCACGCCCTCTGGGTTACCGTATCCTCTGTGATGCAGCACTACCCTTCCGTGTGGGGACACTATGACGTGTGTAAGACTCAAATTTACACAGAAGAAGGAAAAATATGGGATTACATGGCCTGCCAGCCAGAAGCCAGAGACATGATCAAATACGTGAAAGTGACTCTGGATCCCCCAGACATAACGTGTGGAGATCCTCCTGAGACTTTCTGTGCAATGGTAAGGCAAGCTTTTAATCTTGCATAATTACTAGGTATATATTTGTGATAGATGGCTTCAAAATGGAAGCCCTGTAGTGCACATGTAATTATCCAAGAAAATCTGCATCATATTCTGAATGCGAAAGGTTCTGCTGAACAAAATGCTGAGCAGTATATTAAGCTGGGCAATGAGATGTTCTACTTATGGGGACCTAACTTGACTGTCTGAATTCGGTGTCTCTCTAGGTCAACTTTTAATGACTTAAAAGAAAGCAGCATGAAAATCCTAGTGCACTAACCCTTAACTGGGGTGCATTTGCCTGGATCACGAAAGACTTGAGTGAATTGGTTCCAATACAGTCACCTGAAAGCATCATAACGTATAATTCAGCATCATTTCCAAACATGAGACCATTGTTAGGAACTCAGACTGCAGAAGCTTAAAAAGTGGTGGTGGTAGCTGGGCTGGTGGAGTTTTTCTGGCAAGTCCACCCAGCCGCAGGCAGCGTTGCTGGAGCTTTGCTGCCGCACGCAGCAGGTGCGTACCTGCAGGTCCATACCTGCGCATATGGACAGTGCAGCAAGAAACACCTTCAGGTGGGGGCCAGCTCTACCAACTACTGACAGCTTTCTTCTTTAACCGAAACTGTAGGCATTCAAGCCGACTAAAAGAAACCAAAGTCAAGTTCCTTAATTTAGATGCTCCTAAAATTAGAGACTAGTTTTGGAAATGTGGGGCTTGGTAAATGTACAGGTATGAGAAAGCAGGCAGACACTATGCCTTTTACAGCTGTCCTTCTCGTAAGTGTTTGACAGATAGATCATGCTGTAAGAGGTCATTCGAGTTAAAGGAAATCTTCACCTTGTAGATAACTTGTTTCTCCTCACAAACACGGAGAATTCATTTTCTTTGCCACTGCATATTTCTGTTAAATATTGAGTGGAAAATACAGTGTCCCTTGACTAGAAAATGTGAGTTTGAGATGCAAAACATATGTACTTACATTAATAAAGCACTGGAAATGTACATCACATTACCTACGTAATTTAGATTTGAAAACCCAATGAGTTCTGGTAGGTGAGGTTATCATAACTGAGAAAAGTCTACAAGATATTTATTTGCCTGTGTACGCATCATCATTGCTGTGTGACAGCATCCCCACAGGAAGGAAATTTGCTTTTAAATGCCTTATGGTATCATTTTCAACCGCTACTGTTCTGTAAGGAGTTCGGGTCCAACCACACATACATTTAGGGAATTATGTGCATGCATGCAGCTGCTTCCCACGTACATTATGGTAATAGCCACGTGATAAATTGCGGAGCTACGTGAATAAATTACATTCACTGTGAGCCTTTGACTGCACCACTTGCTCTCTGCCCACTAATCCATCTCTACTGACATGGCTTTGACACTGTAAACCTCTGAGCAGCTTCAAGCAGGCACTGTTTAAAAACAAAACAAAAAAAAAAGCAACATGTCCCGCATAATATGGTCTTTTTCTTTTTTCTTTATCTCGAAATGTATTTTCTCCCTCAGAATAGTAATAGCTGTGATTTAGCCCTCAGAGACATTTAGTAACTCGTCATGCAGTTAATAAGAAAAGTTGTCCTTTTAATGCAAAAGAAACTGCCCTGCAAAACTAGTTTCTTCCTTTTAGTGCAGATAAACATTGCAGCAGTTCCTGTCTTAAGTAATTTTTTAAGTTTCTGAATGCCTTGGTTATCAATCCACTCTCTAGTTGGAATAGTGATTTAAAAAAAAAAAAAAAAAAAGACGACATTTTGGTTAAATCTAAGTATTAAAAATGGTGCCAGAACTCCTGAAAACGTTTGACCTAGCAAGGTCCTTGATGCTGTGATGGGGGATGAAAGTTTGCTCAGGAGTCATCTGAGGTGACGGGTGTAGCTCCCTTGCTGCATAAGCCCTTGAGATGCAGAAGGTCACCAGAATCCTGACACGAGGAGCAGAGAAAGAAGAACTGGGGAGAGAGCACACACAACGAGGGAGTGTATTTAGTGATGTGAGTGTAGAGTGACTGACTCCTACCTGATAAACTCTTGTATTTGCTTTCAGTATAGATGTATATTGTACATATACACTATAGTCACATATGCATTGGTAATTGCTTGACTTACCTGAAACATTAGGAAAATAACAGAAATATTTGACGTTCCTGAGGTACTGCACAGCAGCAGGGCACTCTCATCTCTAAAAAGGCTTCATGTCTATCTGTTCTATAACTACATCTAGAAAATTACACATTTCCTTCAAAATGAGGTTTTAGGTATTTGTTGGGCTGAGCCTTTGGCATTTCCCTATGAGGAGATCTTTTATTTTTGTCTTCATTTTTAGTTTTAGAAAATGAGTTAAGAAGATAGCACTGTCATACTTAAAGATGGTGGGCAGTGGAAAAGAGTACATTCCTGTTAGGCATGTTCTTTCACTAAAAAAAATCCCAAATTTGAAATGACAGAGATCCAAAGGTTTCTTTTCAGCATGGTGGAGTGCTGAATTGACTTATACAAATGCTTCATTTTATTGTTGTGAGTACTGGATATTTGCGTGCTAAACCTAGGCACCAGTGTTTTGTTATTGAAATCAGGTTAACCTCAACTGCCTTCTGGTAATTCCTTGGAGGAGATCAGGGTCCTTTCAGATATCCTAACAATAAGCAAGGGTACCAAAGAGCCAAAGGAAGAGGAGGAGGTTGAAGTAGCCTCCTGTTTTGTTTCCTTATCAGTTCTCCGATCAGGCTTAGTAATTTTCTCTTCACCACAGACTATATGGACTAAAGTACTAGCTGTTGAGTCTGTGTCAGCTATCAGTGTAGTATAGATACAGATTATATCCCTGAAACACAACCAGACTGAGAAGTTCACCCAAGTCCTGCTGGGAGATTATGGTAAAATCTAAGGCAGTCTGTGGGAGGGAGATGATAATAGTCTGCAATAACACACAACGCAGTCATGCATTGCAATGCACGCAAGCATACAATACAGAGGAGATGGGCAGTTAATGGTAAAATTTGCCTCCTACTTATTTCTGCATATTCCCCATGGAATTAAATGTTCTTAAGAGTCCATTATGAATTTTTACTCAGTGAGCTTGTTTAGTTGACGGACCGAATAACGAGGCTTTGCACATGCAGATTTGCTGCAAAATGCAACACTCCTCTAGTTGGTAGCTAAACCTAGCACGTGGCAGCTCACCACTTGTAAGTGCCTTTCGGTCGTCCCTCCAGGACAGCGTCCGTAGGTATTATGGGGAGCATGCAGCAGGAAAACTATCCCACGATTGCTTTTATGCAATCTAGTCTGAGAATAACATTATAGTTTCTGGCAACATTCAGTATTGACAACTCGTGAGATTATTCTGAAACCTCAAACCCCTGGAGTCCTATGATTATGTGAGATTCTCAGCTTTCATTTAAAACATCATCTTTATTCTCTTAGTCCTGGTTGCAGACAAAAGTTTGAAAATGAAACTGAGAAGCTCAAAAAGCAGAAGCCAAATAAATAGCCCTCCAAATTATTATTTGTTTAAAATCTCATCATTTTTAAAGTCACTCAGGATTTTTAGGGCTTGGGAAAGGATTTTGCTCGAGAGGAGAGATGCATGAAAGAAACATATAAACAAATGAATGGCTTACAGCAGTGAACGCTCACGGTTTCTGGCCGTGGAGTTGCTTTTGTCTGTAAGGACGATGTGACGGCATCCTTCCCAAACAGGCAGTACTCCTCTCACCTGCGGGATAACCAGCGCCCTACGGAGCAGGGGTTGACTGGTCACCTCTGGCTTCCCTGTAGGTTTTAAAGCAACCTCTAGCTGCTTAGAGTGAGGCACGCATGCTGGCAGATGATGCACATCTGCTTTCTGTGGCATTCCTTCGAGGAAATTTGGCCGTCCTTTGTCAGTCGCAGAGTTGGACTGGGTGATCACAGCATTTGAGCCAGCGTGACCATTCCTGTGGGTCTGTAATTCATGAACTTTGAGCATCTGGCATTGGTAAGAGTATGTCTGGCACCACATGCTTAGGCTTAGTTGGCCTGGGAGGAAAGGGAAGGGGAAGAAGAAGAGAAAAGAGAAAAAAGCTGCTTCACTTTTTCAGAACTGCAGGATTCACTTTGCAGATATACTGTAAGCAAATTTTTAAGTACCTGGGAGCGCTAGTTCTTGTGGCCTGCAGCATTTCAGTTTACAAAACAAATCTGCTTTAAATCCCCAGGAGTAACTAACCATTGGTGAAATCTTCTACTTCCCTCTTTGTAAGCGCGTGTTACAATTTCACAAAACTCTCTCCAGTTATAAAAAGAAACAAATCTGACTTTTCATGAACATCACCATCTTTTGCCCTACAAGAACAGTGCATAGCTGGCTTCTGACTTCTTTATTTCTAGAATGTTTTCTGGCTGTGGCCCCAGTACGAGCATCACGAGCCCCCCACAGTGCCACTCACAGCCCTGGGGTCCCTTCGCCCCAGAGTTATACCTGCCCCTCGCATGGGCTGGCCCCTCTGCTGAAATCCAGCCTTTAGCATGGGGTTTGCATTCAAACCTTCGCCAGGATTACTGTATAAATTCATCACGAACTTAACCAGGAGACTCCTAGTGGCTATTGCTGTAATTTGCAAAGTGGAGACGAATTTACATTACCAACTTCTGTTGGCGGCTGAAATGGCAACATAAAAATACAATTTTCTGCTTTTGTTTAGACCTAGCTATGATAACACCATTCCACATCCCAATGGCTAAAAAATGATTAAATTATCAGCAATTGTTGTTGCCTGCAGCTAATTTTCTTCATAGGTTAAACAGAAGCTTGAAAAGAAGCCTACAGATGGAGGTCCTGTGCATTTGTACAATTTATAAAGCAAAAATGCTGATGACAGTAGAAATTTGAGCCCTTGAGTGCTACTCTGTATTTCATAGCCAATCAAAACTAAATTAAGAAACAAAGATTATTAAAAAGTCTTCTGTGCATGTAATTCTGGCATAATATTATGAGGTGGACATTAA